AAACCTGCGGGGAACTCTGCAAAAAGCGCATCTTCGCACGGGCAGCCCGTGCGTTGGCCATTTATTGTAGCTATGCAATGCGGAAAGCGCATATTGACGAGGGGTTGTCTGTGTGTGCGCAGGGCCTCTCTACCGATTTTTCATCTCGAGACCTTAATCTACATGCACGTACTGGCCCCATCCCCAAAATTGGCGATCTTTCCCACGTGGTACTCGCTTGCGAGCCCGCCAAAATTTTTTTGCGGGTGAGCTGCTAACTTGCGAACCGAAAAAGCTAGAGAGTTGAGATTTTAAGGGAATGTTCGCCGTCCACGTAGGTACTAACGAGCTCAAACCCAACCGTCGAGTAAGCGTGGTGCCCGCATACGAACCCGCCAAAATTTTTCCCCGGCAGGTTCTCGGGGATCTGAGATGCTAGAAAGCTGAAGTCTTAAGGGAATGTTCCCCGTCCAAGTAGATACTAATGAGCCCAAACCCAGCCCCCGGGTAGGCATTGTACTCACGCACGGGCCCGCCAAAATTTTTCCCGGGTAGGTTCGTAACTCGGGGACCTGAGATGCTAGAAGACTGTAACATTGAGAGGGTGCCCCCTGTCCACGTTAGTCTCAACGAAATCAAAACAGCCGTCGGTCATGCGTGGTACTTACGTACGGGTTCACCTAAGTTTTTCTCGGGCAAGTTCATAATTCGAGTACCTGAGAAACTAAAGGTCTGTAATTTTAAGAGGATGTACCCCGTCCACCTAAGTTTCATTCAGCTCAAACCCAATTCTCAAGTATTCGTAGTAAACACGCACGGGCCCGTGAAAATTTTTTTCCAGTAAGTTGCTAACTCTGGAGCCAGGGAAGCTAGAAAGTTGAAATTTCAAAGCAGTGTTTCTGACAGTTCTGGTGGCCAGTCTTAATTTGTTTAGCTAGAAGTATTTGCCGGGAAAATCGGTGCCGGTAGCGACAAAAACTGCGGGGAACTATGCAAAAAAAACGCACATTCGCACGGACAGCCCATGCTTTGGCCAGTTATTTCTTCATTTCTTTATAACATTTAATCTTTATGCCATCAGCTTTCAAGCATCACTGAGGCAAGTGAGGGGGCTGGGTTGTCCAGATTAGAGTATGTGAAGTATTTTTCGATCTTGCAATGGAAATGCTTTCAGACTTCCGCAGGCACTGGCCCAGATGGAAAATGAAAATGCGGGCGCGATTTATTCAACGATCGATCGCACAACGCCAATGCCCGAGCATAGCGGCTCATTTTTTTACAGCGAAGGGCCGACCAATCCAACGTATGAGTGTATCGATCTGGAATCCGATTCTTTTTCTGATCCGTTGTATTCCAAGGTTTCATTTCTTATAAAAATTTGCTTTAGCATCTTTCCATTGTTTCGTCATAGCGCACCTTTGCATTGTTCGTGAAGTTGACAGCCTTTCCGTGCTTTGTTTTTTTGGCACCTGGTGCTTACTTTGTTCTAAAGGAGGCGTAAATAGTTTCATTAAAAAGCAAACAAATGATACGCATTTTGTTTGATTACGGAATTTTATCAGTTCGCATGAGCGCTGGTCTGTGTGACAATGAATTGCTCAGGGGCATGAGGAGATAGCAGTAGACAACGGTGCTTGGGCTGAAAGTTGGGCATTTGACTTCAGTATAGAAAAAAGTAAATCCTTCCGTTGTTCACTAATTCATTTCGATGGTAAAAAATAGTAATTTCGCATGTCAAGGAACCGAAACTGCCATCAGGTGGCCTCAAAGAACCGTTGCAAGGTAGAACTGTCAAAACATTGCCGGGTGGTTGCTTTTGCTAGTGAGCAATATTGCCAGCTACTTCAGTTGTTTCCTCTGTCACAGGAAGTGAAATATGAGAGGGGGGGAAGGGTGTGAAGGCAAATCAGTTTTGTCACTCATAAAACTGCATAGCCAGAGGTATCTTGACCGTACTAAGATTTTGTTATTTTTGTTGAATCGAAGTAAGTGATGCTTCGTATGTAATGTATATGTTATATAAAAAATCTCTTATAAAAAAAATAAAAAAGTTGCCAGCTTCATCGATGGCGTGACACCAGAGATCGATGAAACAACAGCTGTTCAAGGTATTCAAGGTATATAAAAAATCGCTTATACATATTATGCCCAGCTTCACCAGTGCGATAGCCAGACTTCTTCTACGACTCGTTCATTCATTTCGATGGTAAACTGATATTTAGACATACCAGAAATTCGCCATAGCTTGCTTCAAAGTAATCTTTGGCAAAGATGGACATTGAACCACTATCAACAGACTTTTGTTGATGCAAAGTGCCACAGTTCACGTTATTTCCGAGTATATCCGCCAGTCGTAGAGAGTGAGTGGTGAAGGGATGTCACTTGTTCGTGTTATCATAGTTTGTGTGGATGAGTGAGGTATTTGCCACTAGGCTGGTTCGAAAACCTGCCTCTCGTTTTCTTTCTCTTCCTGCCTTCCCTGTTGCAGTTTCAAAAGATGTCTGTTCCCTCTTCCAAAGTATCCATTCTCTGCTGGGGATCTGAGATTACTTTGTTAAATTATCAGTTTACTGGCCCTTTTCATAATTTTGCAAAATTTTATTCCGTTATCGTTATTTGGCAGCCATCGAAGTACATCAGTTGTGATAGCACTTTAAGCAGTAATAACAGCAAACAGTGTGATTCTTTTACAGGACAACAGCGTAGTGATCGCTTTTATTACAGCTGGAAAATGGTGTTCGCTCAACGAGACGGTACGATTATCCCATTTTCGCCCCAGCGTTGAGTCGGCCCGTTCACACTGTTGCGGCTGCAGCACGTATCACTGCTGATGAGTTCTACCAGAGCTCTTCGCAGATATATGCAGGCGTTAGTGAAGATCCGTACAGGTTCAAACATCTTTGTCATGCCATGCCAACTGATTTCTCTTTAACGTCGCTTAAGATTGCTCAGACAGCACCAGTACCAATTTACTATTTAAACGAATAAACGAATTGTAAGAGCTAGTCAAACATTCGACTTTCTGCGCGCTGCGGCGCTACTGCCCACTGCTTCGTGCTCTCCTGGCAGGTCTTGATGATTTTTTTCCGTCACCTGGTTTGTTTCAGCTCGATAACAAGTCATGCAGGCGGTGAAACGAATTATGACCTTGGCTATAGCCGTGTAAACGAACGCACAACAGGCAGCAGTGCACCTGCAGAGAATCAGAATCTCGAACAGCTTTACACACAAGTGAGCTAATTTCCAAATTCCTCTACATTCTCGTCAACTTACTTCTTAGTGTTTCCGTTTGCCAATTTCTCTTTTTCTCCTCCTTCTGCCCCTTTTTTCCTCTTCTTATACGTTTTGTGCTGTGTAACAGCAGTACAAAACGCGTATTGTCACGGGGTTGTCTGTGTATATGTGTGTGTCCGCAGTAGATTGTCCGCAACTTTCAACTCGGTAACCATAAAAACTAGGAAGCTGAAAATTTAGGTTTACGTTCCCCACCCACATGCGATCCCGCAAATTTAAACTCAGCCTCTCCGTACCCGCGAGTAACACGTACGACCCT